AGGAGACTCGCTTGAGCCCAGGAGTTGGAGGTTGCTGTGAGCGTGATGCCATGGCACTCTACCCAGGGGGATAGCTTGAGGCTCCGTATACTGAGGGTGGCGGGTTCAAACCCAGCTCCCGCCAAACTGCAACAAAAAAATAGCCGGGCATTGTGGCAGGCGCCTGTAGTCCCAGCTACCTGGGAGGCTGAGACAAGAGAATCGCCTAAGCCCAGGAGTTGGAGGTTGCTGTGAGCTGAGGCCAAGGCATTCTACCAAGGGCAATAAAGCGAGACTCTGTCTCTTAAAAAAAAAAAAAAAAGAAAAAAAACACAAACAAAAGAATAAAGCACTTCTTTGTGTGTTTTCTTCTGAATTGATTATTGTGGTCAAGAAGTGCAATGTCTTGATTGGGTTAGGATTAATTTACAAGATCTCCCACTGGGTTAGGGAAGAAGCCCTCAGCTTGAACCCTTGATCTGAGCTTTAGTCTTTTTCCTATGACCAAGCCTTTTCCTGGGCTAGTCCCGGGTACTTGGCCCCTGACTTAGTTTTGCTTCATTTCATTCTCAGTGCCCTGTTCTGGTCTGACATTGACCACCCTCTCCCAGGCTAGAGTTTTCTCATTCATTTGATAAATATTTATTGAGCACTATTACGTGCAAGAATATTCTGAGAACTGGGGTATACCAATGACCAAACAGATACAAATCTTTATCCTCATAGAGCTTACATTCTATAATTCTTCCTTGAAGCTCATCCCCATGGCTGAACCCCATTTTCTGCTGCTTACGCTCACAGTCCACTGTCCAAATTAGAACATATCTGCAAATTATCTGGATCTACTCCTGCCACCTAGAAGACCATGCAGCATCATAGAATGAGGTCAGTGTTTGGATCCGATAGACCTGGAGCAAATATCCCTCCAGGGCTTACCAACTGCATGAACCCGCACCAGACGCTTATCCTTTCTGAACCCTAATTTCCCCATCTGTAAAACAGGACAAGGACAACATATACCTTATAGGGTTGTAAGGACCAAATATGTTGATCCTTGCAATTCTTTTAGCACTGTGCCTAAAGAGTGAGTGTCTGACACATGTCAGCTGTGTTGAGTTTTGCATGTCAGAACAAGGAAGCTCATGTGGTGGGCGTGGAAGGTAAAGTAACTCAGCATTCAGGAACTGGGACAAGAGAGTGGAAGAGTGTACAAGAAACACACACTGTAAGCAGTAGCCCCTGGAGCCCAGGAGGTCAGGGTGGATGGAGAAGTGGTAGACAGGCCTGGTAGGGTGGCTCACGCCTGTAATCCTTACATTTTGAGAAGCCTAGGCAGGTGAATTGCTTGAGCTCAAGAGTTCGAGACCTGGGCCTGAGCAAGAGTGAGACCCTGACTCTATTAAAAATAGAAAAAAAAAAAAAAAAGCCAGGTGTGGTGGCAGGCACCTGTAGTCCTAGGTGTTCAAGAGGCTGAAGAAAGAGGATCTCTTGAACCCAAAGAATTTGAGGCTGCTGTGAGCTATCATGATGCAACAGCATTTTACCCAGGGTGACAGAGTAAGACTTTGTCTCAAAAAAGAAAAGAAAAAAAATATATATATATATATATAACTTTAAAATAAATAAAATAAAATAAGGGGGGGAAAAGAGAGAAAAGAGGTGGACAGTGGGCAGAAGCCCTTGCCAGGATCATCTCTAGTCTGAGGAGGATGAAAATGACTAGAGAAGAGCAGGCAGCAGGGCTGAGGCAGCACTCAGGCCCCAGAATTCCAGTGGCAAAGGGCTAGGGCTATGGAAGGCCAGGACACTGCCAGCAGCGCCTGCCACCGCAGGAGTTCCTAGCTCTGCCTGTATCACAGCTCAGCTCTTCTGCACTCTCCTCACATCATCCATGGTCCATTCCTCCCAACTTCTCCTCCCTACCACTTCTTTCAAATCAGTATCCAACATCTTCACCTGCCTAAAAACACAAACAAACAAAATGCAAATAAACAACACTCCCAACTCCTTAGTTACCACCCTATCATTTTCCTTTTCTTCCCTTCATCTCCTTCTCATCCCTCAACTCACCCCAGGCTGGCTTCTATTGGCAAAAGTCCACTGAGCCTTCACAACAAAGCACTTGCTGTGCTTTCTGGTTCAGGCCCTTTAGTCTGCAATTGTGAAACTGGAGAGAAAGCTGGTTTCTCTATGCAGCAGAGGAAGGATATAGTTCCCACAGCTGCCTTCCCTATAATTAGAACCACTATAATGATAACCAAACCACACTGCATCTCATGCCACAAGGAGACTTAGCATGGCTTTTGCTGAGAACCCTTTACTGGTTTCTCAATTGTGCTTAGAAAAAATTCCAAACTGCTTTGTACAAGGCCTCCCAAGATCTATCTCCTACCTGTGTCTTCAACCAGCCTCATCTCTCCTACTCTGCCTGCTTACCCTTCCTTCCTACCCCTACTGGCTCTCTGCAAACACACAAAAAACTTATTCTTGCATTCCTGCTTGGTGCTTTTGCATTTGCTGTTTCTTTCACTTGAAACATTTCTTTTTTTTTTACTCTGTCAGTCCTGAAGCTACTAGCCACCTCCAAATTGAGGTGTGCCATAAGTTTAAAATGAACACCAGATTTTTAAGAACTTAGGTCAAAATAAAGGGACTTAAATGTTTTTAAATATTTATTACATTTTGAAATGATATATTTTGAATATGTGCAAGGTTATTGTGAGGACTGAATATGGTGACAGTTCCTATGCACCTCCTGCTCCCACAACACGCAACCTTGCCACTGCCAACATCCCACACTGCAGCTGTGTGTGCCACTGATGAACCCACAGTGATGGATCATTATTATGCAGTGTCTATGTTGATGTTAGGGTTCACGCTCAGCCACGTGCAGTGGCTCACACCTGTAATCCCAGAACTTTGGGAGGTCAAGGCAGGAGAATCACTTGAGGCCAGGAGTTTGAGACTGGCCTAGGCAACACAGTGAGACCCAGTCTCTAAAGGAAAAAAAAAAAAGGAATTAAGCAGGCACAGTGGGAGGAGCTTGTTAGCTCCAGCTGCTTATGAGGTAAGAGGGTTGCTTGAGTCCAGGAATACAAGGTTACAGTGAGAAAGACAGAGGAAGACCCTATCTCTAAAAAACAGAAAAAAGAAAAAGAAAAAAAAATGGACCTGGCATGGTGGCTTGTGCCAGTAACCCTGGTACTTTGAGGGGCTGAGGCAGCAGGAGGATTGCTTGAGGCTAGGAGTTAGAGACCAGCCTGAGCACCACAGTGAGACTCCCATCTCTACAAAAAATACAAAAATTAGTGGTTAAGGGCAATCTACGTGGGGGGAATGAGGGAGCAGTCAAGAGTTGAAGCCAAGAGTTTGTGGTTGCAGTGATCTGTGACCAGGCTACTACACTTCAGCCTGGGCAACAGAACAAGACCCTGTCTCTCACAACACGCATGTACAAAAAATAAAGAGGAAAGGCTGGGCGCAGTGTCTCATACCTGTAATCCCAGCACTCTGGGAGGCCGAGGCCAGTGGATTGTTTAAGCTCATGAGTTAGAGACCAGACTGAGCAAGAGTGAGAGCCCATCTGTATGGAAAATGAAAACCTGATGAAGAGGGGGGCACCTGTAGCTCAGTGGTTAGAGTGCCAGCCCTATGCAGTAGGGGTGGCAGGTTCTAACCCAGCCTGGGACTGCTAAACAAAAATTAAATAAAAAATTAAATTTAAAAAAATTAAAAAAAAAAGAAAAACTGATCAAGAGGATCTCTTGAGCCCAAGAATTCAAGGTCACTGTGAGCTATGATGCCACAGCATTCTAGCTGAGGTGACAGAGTAAAACTCTGTCTCAAGTAAATAAATAAATATAGAAAAAGAAGCAAGCATCAGTAAAGGTTAATTCAGTGTTGAATACTCTATGGGTTTTGACAAATATATAATGATGTGTTTCTACCACTACAGTTACCATAAAGAGTGGTTTCATTGTCCTAAAAAATCCTCTGTGCTCTCTCTGTTCATTCCCTCCTCCCATCCCATCCCCTGGCAACTGCTGATCTTTACTATTATACTTTTTTAAATGTGAATTTTAGAAAATTTAAAATTACGTATGTGGTTCATATTATATTTCTATGGGACAGCACCATTCCGCATGTTCCCAAGGCTGCCTGTCTTCCTCTGTTCAGGTTTCTGCATGAATATCACCTCCTCGGTGAGGCTTTCCCTGACCACCTGACCCTATTCAAAATAGTAGCTCCCACTGTTATGCTTTTCTTTTTACTTATTCTTCTCCCTAGCATTTATTAACTGCATTAGACAGAAAAAATCAGGTAAACAAATGTGCAAGATGATGACAAGTTGATCAAAGTTATGATGAAAATAAAACAAGGTTAGCAGGAGGGGGCTACTTTAGATGAGTGATCAAAGTGCATCTTTGAGAGGGTGACTTCTTTTTTTTTTTTTTTTGAGACAGAGCCTCAAGCTGTCCCCCTGGGTAGAGTGCTGTGGCTTCTCAGCTCACAGCAACCTCCAACTCCTGGGCTCAAGCGAGTCTCCTGCCTCAGCCTCCCAAGTAGCTGGGACCACAGGCATCCGCCACAATGCCCGGCTATTTTTTGGTTGCAGCCGTCATTGTTGTTTGGTGGGCTGGGCTGGATTTGAACCCTCCACCTTAGGTGTACGTGGCTGGCGCCTTAGCCACTTGAGCCACAGGCGCTGAGCCTGAGAGGGTGACTTCTAAGATGAGTCCCCGGTGATGAAAAAGGCACCAGTTGGCTCGGTGCCTGTAGCTCAGTGGTTAGGACTCTGGCCACATGCTCTGGGGCTGATATGTTCAAACCTGGCCTGGGCCTGCTAAACAACAATAACAAAAAAACAGCCAAGCATTGTGGCAGACGCCTGTAGTCCTAGCTACGAGGGAGGCTGAGGCAAGAGATCACTTGAGCCCAAAAGTTTGAGGGTTGCTGTGAGCTATGATGCCATGGCTCTATCCAGGGTGACAAAGTGAGACTGTAAAAAAAGAAAGAGAGAGAGAGAGAAAGGAAGGAAGGGAAAAGAAAGAAAGAGAGGAAGGAAGGAAGGAAGGGAGGGAAGAAGGGAGGGAGGGAGGGAAAAGAAAGAAAGAAAGAAAGAAAGAAAGAAAGAAAGAAAGAAAGAAAGAAAGAAAGAAAGAAAGAAAGAAAGAAAGAGAAAGAAAGAAAGGACGGACCAGTCAGTGGCTCAGTGGCTCATGCCTGGAATCCTAGCACTTTGGGAGACTGAGGCAGGTGGACTGCTTGAACTCAGGAGTTCAAGACCAGCAAGAGCAAGAGCCCCATCCCTACTAAAAAAATGGCCAGGCCAGGCACAGTGGCTCACGCCTGTAATCCTAACACTCTGGGAGGTTGGGATGGGTAGATTGCTGGAGGTCAGGAGTTTGCGACCAGCCTGAGCAAGAGTGAGACCCTGTCTCTAAAAGCTAGCTGGGTGTTGTGGTGGGCACCTGTAGTCCCAGTTACTTGGGAGGCTGAGACAAAAGAATCACTTGAAACCAAGAGTTGGAGGTTGCTGTGAGCTATGACGCTATAGCACTCTACTAGGGTCAACATAGCAAGACTCTGTTTCCAAAAGAATAAAAAATAAAAATAAAAAATAGCCTGTGTTGTGGCAGTTACCTGTAGTCCCAGCCACTTGGGAGGCTGATGCAAGAGGATCACTTAAGCCCAAGTTTTGATTTTGCTGTGAACTATAACACCATGCACTCTACTGAGGGCAACAGAGTAAGACTCTGTTTAAAAAAAAAAAAAGAAAAAGAAAGAAAGAAAAGAAAAGAAAAAGGCACCAGTCATGCAAAGGGAAGGGAATTCCAAGCAGCCATAGCATCTTTGCAAATCCCTAAGGTAGAAAGGAAATGCACTTACTAGAGCAGTGGTTCTCAACTTGTGGGTCACGACCCCTTTGTAACAATGAAAATACATCCTGCATATCTGATATTTACATTATGGTTCATAA